GGACAAATTAAAAAAAAAAAAAAAGAATGAATAAATAAAATAAATAATTATTTTTAAAAATAAAAAGAAAAGAAATACGTACTATGGGGAAAACCAGCAGGTGACATGGTGATCAAGGGCACTGGACTCCAATATGGCTGACTACAGTTCGAGCCCCAGATCTGGTGGCTTGCTTTCGCTCTCTCTAATCAAATTTAAATAAATAAATGAATAAAGTTAAATAGAATAAAAAATTCTTTTTTTAAAAAAAAAGAAATGCTGGGGGGGAGAAAACTTTGAGTTTTTGATAACATTTCTCTTTCTTGTTTTTGCTAGAGTTAAAGCAAATCTCTAATATTTGATTTTGCACTTAAGTCCTTATCACAAAAATAGTTTTTTTTGTTTGTTTTTTCAGTCAAAAGCTCTAAGTATTTTAGGAAATTTCATTTCAAGGTGCATCCTTTCAGACTCTTCTTGGTTTATGTAAACGTATAAAGCACATTTTAGGGTGACAAAGTGTCCTTACATTTTGAGCCCTCCCATCTTTCTGGATGCTTTTAATTCTCTGCTGTTGGTGCCTTAGAGTTCCTCCCTGAGTGATAGATGGTGTCCCACAAAGCCATGCCTTTCATTCAGAGGCCTGTGTGTCTGGAGCCCTGTGGCTTCACAGTAAGCACCATGCTTCTGTCACAAAAGCATGGCAGCTACTGCTCTGAACAACCTGGCACTGACTCAGTTTCCCCAGAGTACTAACAGCTAAAAGTTTTTCCCTGGGAAGAGTACCCACTCTATCCAGGGGCTCCTGTGTCCCCATGCAATGACCTTTCTTTGTGTCCAGCTAATGACTGTGTCACCTTCCTAGGCATGGAGAACCCTCCACCTGAGCGTCCCCGGGAAAAAGAGGAGCCTGTGGTTCGGGAGACAGGCGAGGCAGTCGACTGCCACCTTGGTGACATGCTGCAGCAGCTACACAGTGTCAATGCCTCCAAGCCTTCAGAGCGAGGCCTAGTGCGGCAAGGTGAGTGCCACTAGGACCTGGTGGGGAAACCTGGGGCTTCTAGAGAAGGCAGATTCATAGGGACATCTTAGCTAAGAGTGTTGGTGACTTGCTCAGGCCCCTGTCTCATAATACCTTTGGTTTCCCCATTTCCTGTAGATCAGAATCCAAATGAGTAAGCCAGACATCCATGATGTTCCTGTCTTTCTTCTGATCCATCTCTTGCTACTCTATAAGTATTCTGTCTTCCAGCCCCTCAGTATGCCACCTCTCTACATCGGCACAGTTTCTTCTGCTCAGTGAATTCCTATTGAGCCTCTGAGACAGTTGAAATAACCAGATATGCTCCAGCTGCAGGGCTTTTCTCGCTCTGCACTCTCCCCCTGGCATGCACTTCTTCCAGACCTCCACACGGCTCACACTGTCACCTCCTTTAAGAGTCTGCCCTAGGAGAATCTCCCGGGGGCCCCACTGCTAGCATATCTCAACCCCCTACTACTTTAGAGTTCTCCAGAACACTTCTCACTCACCATAGTTTAACATTTCCTTCTTTGTTTATTGTATTTAAATAAAGGGGTTTGTTGCATGCATCACACAAACATTTTTTTTTTTTTGAGAGAGAGATTTTCACTGTAGGGCGCGTGCGCTCGCCAGATAGACAGAGAGAGACATAGAGACAGAAAGCGCGAAATCACCCCCCAGGGGGGATGGTCACGCCACAATCCCTTCTCCTCCATTCTCCTCTCGGGATCTTGGGCACGCACGCACACGTGCCCGGCGTGAGTTTTAAGCCACCGGGTCCGGGACACGAACCGCAGTCGACTACGTGGGAGTCCAGCGACATAGCCATTACGCTAACTGCTGGTTCCCCATCACACAAACATTTTGAAGTGTTTGGAATTGTCCATCTTCTCACAGTTTCTTACTCATTCAACTTGCATATTTTGTATATTTAGATCATACTTATTTTGATTCATCTTTGTCCCTACAACTAGATTTTGAACTCCAAGAAGGGTGGGTTTTTTTCTTTTGCTCACTGTATCTACAGCAATGCCTGGCACATAGATAGCCTTTGATAAATGGGTCAGCTTAATGGATGAGTAAATGGAACTTGGTGTGCTATGCTAGAATGTTCTGCTTCAGGGTGTGCGCCGCTGCTTGTCGGGGCCTGTGGGGCAGAGGCCCTATGGTGTCCCCTCTGGCACACTAGGCATCTTGACTGAATCTGGAGGGTGGGTGGCCAGCAAGGTTTTTAGGTGTGAACCAGAGGAATAGACCAGCAGGCTAGAGGCTGGTCCTGATCAGTCATCTTTCTGTTTTTATCTCAGAGGAGGCTGAAGATCCTGCCTGCATTCCCATCTTTTGGGTCAGCAAGTGGGTAGACTATTCGGACAAGTACGGCCTCGGTAGGTTTCTTCCAGAATGGGTGGGTTGCTCAGATATGGCCTTTATTGACTCCCAAGTCCTCTTCTCTCAACAGTCTCCTATCTCTGTCCCAGCCCTCTCAGTTCCAGCTCCCAGCCCCCTACCCCCACTTTCTACTTTCTGAGGTGTCCCTCCACCTACCACTAGGCTATCAGCTGTGTGACAACAGTGTAGGGGTGCTCTTCAATGATTCAACACGCCTTATCCTGTACAATGATGGTGACAGCCTGCAGTACATAGAGCGTGATGGTACTGAGTCCTACCTCACTGTCAGTTCCCATCCTAACTCCTTGATGAAAAAGGTGAGTCCTGGCTAGCCCATGGGACTTGGTGTTGCCAGGAATGGAGCTTGTGCCAGCCTCAGACTCTAATGCCAGGATTGCCTCCCTACTCTCCAGATAACCCTCCTTAAGTATTTCCGCAATTACATGAGTGAACACCTGCTGAAGGCAGGTGCTAACATCACACCACGGGAAGGCGATGAGCTTGCCCGGCTACCCTACCTGCGCACCTGGTTCCGCACTCGAAGCGCCATCATCCTGCACCTCAGCAATGGCAGTGTACAGATCAACTTCTTCCAGGTGAGCCAGAAGTGAACCAGGACAGAAGAGAGGTGGAGTAGGCTCTCTGTGCCTGAAAGTAGGCCCACAGGGGCTAGGTGTGGAGTGGGAGGCAGAGGAAGGGAGTGTGGTGGGTGAAGAGCCTCCCTCTATCGCTGGGCTATCTTCTTCCCCTTTTGGCCCCCCACATACATCAGCAGCTGAGATCTTTAGTTGCTTCCTCTGTCCCTTCCAGGACCACACCAAACTCATCCTGTGTCCATTGATGGCAGCCGTGACCTACATCGATGAGAAGCGGGACTTCCGCACATACCGCCTGAGCCTCCTCGAGGAGTATGGCTGCTGTAAGGAGCTGGCCAGCCGACTCCGCTACGCCCGCACCATGGTGGACAAGCTGCTGAGCTCACGCTCAGCCTCCAACCGCCTCAAATCTTCCTCCTAGACCTCCTTCCCCTCCGGACTTGTGCCCCTCTTCACTCCCACCAGCACCTGGGGCCTACTCTTGTGAGCACCCATGGTGCCATTTTTGTCACGTGCCCCCCCCAGCCCTGGGGGCTGGGGAGAGCTATGTCACTTTTGCGGGCAGGGGTTGCCATGTAAGTTATTTTTGTACATGTTCGGGTGTGGGTTCTGTGGCCTCTTCCTCTCCCCCCACCCCCACCATATGCATTGTACAGAATATTTCTATTGAATTCAGGACTGTCCTTTCCTTGGCTTTATACACATTAAACACATGTGAATCTTTCACTTCTTGTATACTCTGAAGGTGCCTGGCACCTGCATTCTAGGCACGTCTCTTCTCCAGTGGCCCCAGGGTTCCAAGCCTCTGCTGGTCTTTTCTGACACGGGCCCAGCCTCAGCCCCAGGCCCAGCTCCTCGGTAAGCTGGCACAGAGGTCACCTCTGTGGCTCCCTCCTGCTCAGCTCCCCACGGCCCCTGGACATGTTCCCTGGACCTCTGAGGTTGGTGGGTAGTAGGGCAGGAAGAGGCTTTCGGAGGCGCAACTCCTCATGGCACGGTGCGTGTGGAGAAGCAGCTGCGGGAAGCGGTCTGTGAAGTACTGGACGAAGCTGTCAGGGACTTGGCCTAGGGCCTGCCGCACCTCAGCTGGGAGCTCCCTGTAGTGGTGCTTCTGTGGACATGGGTAGAGCAGAAGGACCTGGCTCAGCTGTGGCCAGGTCTGAGATCCAGACCCACTCCAGCCTACAGTATACCTTGTTCCTCATGGCACGGAGCAGGTCTCGCACTGATGACCCCTTATATGACCGGAACCTTCTCAGATCTGTTCGGGAAGATCATCATGAAATTGTCCCCTCTGGGCTCCCCTCAGCTTCCCAGGCCACCCGGGTGCCTGCCGTCTACCTGTCTGCAGTGGCACTGAGATATGCTTGTGCCAGTTACACCGGATCACTGCGTAGCCTCCTGCCTCCAGCGCTGTCACCAGGGGCCCCTGCTCAGACTCCTTCTCCAGCCAGTCACTGACGTCCTAGGAACCCCGTTGAACTCCTGAGCTTCATGACCAGTGCCAGGCCACGAGGCCAGGAGTGTGTTGTATGGCTAAAGGGGTGACGCCTCTTGGGGAGTGTGGCTTCTCTGTGCCATGCTTCCATGCTGTTTTTCTCCAACCTCTGTGGTCAGTACCGATGACCCCATTCCACAAATGAGCAGTCCAAGGCTCAGAGGCACCAAATCCTTGGCTCAAGGTCACATAAGTGGAATGGGCTATTTGGGCACAGGGTTAGCATAAGTGACAACTCGGGCAGAAAGGGGTATTCTCACACTAGGACAAGAAGAGCTGGGAAAGCCAGTGAGTGGACCTTGGAGTCGCAGGGTCCAGGCTCTTCCTGGGTTAGGTACCGAGCCAGGCTTCCTGGAACAGATAACTATTCCTGTTTCTCCCCAGTCCTCATTTTTTGTGCTCAGGACCCAGACTTGATACTTTTGGAGGCCATTTCTAAGGTTTTGCTCTAACCTGGAAGAACTGGAGCTGCTTGGCTCTGCTCCAAAAGAAGGGGTGGGCCAGCACTTGGTGAGCAGAGGGGCGCGCCTGCGCCAGGGGGTTCAACATGGCTTCAATCATGTCCCGGGCAAGCACCTTGTCTGGAGAGAAGGGGAAAGATGGTGTCAGGCCTGTCTATCTTCATACCTTCCCTCCCTTCTCTGCTAGATCCAGCCCTCACTTACCATGAGCCGCCTCTTCCAGGTGAGCCAGACAGGGAACCCCTGCAAGGATGTTTGCCTGGCGATAAAGACTCTCACCAAAGGGGTGGTGGCCACCAGAGAGCACATAGTAGAACACGCAGCCTGCAGAGAAGATGTCCACTGCGCTGGTCTGCAGCCAGAGAGACGGGCTTGAGGAAGTCTCTCCAGGTAGGCGGCCTGGCTAAATCCTCCCATGGCTGTGTCTAGACTAGAGCTCAAGGATGCTTCCCAGCATCTCCTTGGTGCTAGAGGCCGCCCATCCCACCCCCATACCATAAAGGGACCCATGGTTTTCCTGAGTCCTTGCCCTGCTGAGCATCTGGCTTAGGTTTCCAAACGTCCTTCCTGCAGGGTGTAGGCAGAGCACTGAGTGAAGCTGGCCAGGCATGAGGTACTAGGTGACCATGAAGAGTGTGGTCAGCTGGCATGTCCTGTCCACAGGGATAGCCAGGCCTGAGCTCTAGTCTGTTGTAACCAGGAATCTACTGAGGACAGAACCAGTTTTCCAAGAGAATGCAGAAACCCAGACTTTTATGTAGAATTTCCAATTGTTAAAATAGTCACTGCTAATGTAGAAAAATAAACTGTACCATTCAGAATGGTGCATTTAATCCTTGCAGGTCGCCACCTCGACCTTCCTCCAACTTGAGTGAGGGCGGCTTTGCCTAGTGACATCTATGCTCTGGCTTCACCCACACACTGCAACTCAAAAATGTGTACTCCTGGAGTCCCAAACTCATGTGTCTATAGAAGTCAGACACTGCTCTGTGCTTCAACTATCTCAGCTCATCTGGTGCTCCCCAAGCCCTCGACACGGTGAGCTTGGACCCTGGCTCCACATTAAAATTTCTTGTGCTCTGAGACCAGCAGATGACACAGTAGTTACATTGCTGGACCCCCTCGTAGTCGACTGTGGTTCAAGTCCCGGACCTGGCAGCTTAAAACTCACACTGGGTGCATGTGCGTGCGTGCCCAAAATCCCAAGAGGAGAATGGAGAAGGGACTGTGGCATGGCCATCCCCGATGGGGCCAAAGTATCTCTTTACAAAAACAATAAATGAAAATGCTTGGGCTCCACCCCAGGCTAATTAAAGTCAGAGTCATTAATAGGTTGGGACTATGCATTTTTTAAAAAAATATTTACTTGATTTTTTTGGTCCGCTGAATCCAGGACTTGAACTACCGTCAGCCATGTGGGAGTCCAGAGCCTCAACCACCACACCACCTACCAGCCCTGGGCATCTTTTTTAAAACAGTTTTTCCAGTAGTTGTGAAGCATGATAACTGAAAACCACTTTTAGCTCCGGGTCTCAACCTTGGCACTACTGACATTTGAGCTGGACAATTCTTTGTTGTCAGGAGCTGTCTTGTGCACTGTGGGACATTCAGCATCTTCCCTGGCCTCCACCCACCAGATATCAGTAATGCCTCCCTCCCCAGTTATGACAACCCAGAATGTCTGCAGACCTTGCCTAATGTTCCTTGGATGACAAAGTAGCTCCTGTTTGAGAACCACTGCTCTGCATAAGGGATAAATTATCCTCTCTTTCGGGAAGAAGAAACAGTCTCAGAAATGGCTCAAGTGATACAGAAGGCAGCTTAAAACTCACACTGGGTGCATGTGCGTGCGTGCCCAAAATCCCAAGAGGAGAATGGAGAAGGGACTGTGGCATGGCCATCCCCGATGGGGCCAAAGTATCTCTTTACAAAAACAATAAATGAAAATGCTTGGGCTCCACCCCAGGCTAATTAAAGTCAGAGTCATTAATAGGTTGGGACTATGCATTTTTTAAAAAAATATTTACTTGATTTTTTTGGTCCGCTGAATCCAGGACTTGAACTACCGTCAGCCATGTGGGAGTCCAGAGCCTCAACCACCACACCACCTACCAGCCCTGGGCATCTTTTTTAAAACAGTTTTTCCAGTAGTTGTGAAGCATGATAACTGAAAACCACTTTTAGCTCCGGGTCTCAACCTTGGCACTACTGACATTTGAGCTGGACAATTCTTTGTTGTCAGGAGCTGTCTTGTGCACTGTGGGACATTCAGCATCTTCCCTGGCCTCCACCCACCAGATATCAGTAATGCCTCCCTCCCCAGTTATGACAACCCAGAATGTCTGCAGACCTTGCCTAATGTTCCTTGGATGACAAAGTAGCTCCTGTTTGAGAACCACTGCTCTGCATAAGGGATAAATTATCCTCTCTTTCGGGAAGAAGAAACAGTCTCAGAAATGGCTCAAGTGATACAGAATCTCATCAGGAAAGGACCTGGGGCAGGTGTCTGTCTGGACAGCTTGATGGGAAGACTCACAGGGCTGTATGGGGGCAGGAACTGCAGGAGCTCAGGCGCCATCCAGCCTTCCGTGCCAGGGATGCCTGAGCGGAGACTGAAGCTATGGCGGCCAGCAGGCAGCTTCTTGCAGAGGCCAAAGTCAGAGAGGACCACCCTGCCTTGACCCTGGCTGTCGGGTCCGGTGATGAGAATGTTGCATGGCTTCAAGTCTCGGTGCACTATGTGGAAAAGCAGGGGCGGGGGGAACCAACAGCCGTGGTTGTGGGAGGAACGAGAAGCCTTGAGGATGGGGAGCAGCAGGCAGGGCAAGGCAGGTACCTATGTGTAGTGAATGCAGGTGAGCCAGGCCAGACATCAGCTGCTGTAGCACCATCTCCGGCTCCAGGCCCCAGTGATCTAGGTTGGGGTTTTCCACGTACTGAGCAGCAGTAAGGAGCAAAACATCACTCTCCAGCCCACTCTCTAGACCTCTCCACTACCTCACTCTGCCCTCCCTGAGCTCCCAACTCACCTCCTGCAATGAGGCCTGGCAGAGTTCCAGAGCAATGTAGTGGAACTGGGGTCCCCGCTCCGTGCAGAAGTAGCGGAGCACATTGGGGTGCCTGTCAGACTCTTGCAGTAGTTGGACCTCCCGCTGAACCAGGCTGAAGCATTCACGGAGGAGCCGCTTCACAGCCACTGCCCGTCCCTCAAATTGTCCCCTGACAGGTGGCAATCAGGGAGTTCAGAAAGAGCAAATGAAGGAAAGAGTAGAAACTGATGAACCAGGCACCAACCTGAACCCACCTTGGGAAGTCTGACAAAGTGGTTCTACAGGTAGTGGCTGGAAGGGCTGAGTGCCATGTCTCCAGCTTAGCTCAGCTGCTACTCACCGAAAAACGAAAGTCCCACCTGCCCCACGGCCCAGCACGTCCTTGGGGTTGAAGGCAATCTTCCCCACCACAGTGAGCTGCTCGGCTAGGGGAGAAGAGGTAGCTATATAAATGTTAGCTCTGGTTCAGGTTCGCTTGTGTCCACCTGCCATTGAATACATGGCAATCTGTGGTCCTGAAGGATGCCCAACTGAGCACATGTAGATGAATTTGTGTAAGTTAAATGAGAGTATGTGGCTATACAGTAGATTTTATGAATCATAAAGTCCACAAGGAATGTTCCTTTCACCCGACCAAGATAGGAGGACCAAGATGTCCAAGATCACGGTTCCTGAGCTAGACATAGATGTCCTAAGACTAGGCTGGAGACTGCAGTAAAGTGCTGGTGTTGGAGAGCTTTTCTGAGTGTCATTTTTGTGGCTTTCCTACCATTAGTCCTATTGTCTGCTCTCCCAGGGCTAACCCAGATGTTGATACACTGGGCTGAGTAGTTGCCCTAGGGTGAGCAAGTCCCAGCTTGTCACTGTACCTGCCTTTTCCTCACACCTGCATGTCACATATCCATTCCATAGCTATGTACCTAGTTGAGAAGGGCTGTTTTAGAACCTTCGGTTCCCAGCGTTCGTATTCAGCACATGTGCAGTGGGTTATGCTCTGTGTCAGGGATTACAACACCAAACAAGACTGGCATAGCCACTGCAGTCCACGACAGGTCATCTGTTCTCCAGGGCACCACAGCCCTGAGTCTCTCTCCTACATGGCTGCTTTACTTGTTTATTTTATCCACCTGGCCTACCCACGAGCATGAGTTTGCAACCCTGCTTCCAGTTTCTAGAATGTGTGTCTTGCTTTTTCTCATCTTTTTAAAAAAGGGTATTTAGCAGCCAGTAGGTGGTGTGGTGGTTAAGGCTCTGGCCTCCCACATGGGCAATCACAGTTCAAGTCTCCGACCTAGTGGCTTGCCCTCTCACTGTCCCTCTCTTTTTCTTTCTGTCACTCTGATGAGCACATGTGCCCTATAGCAAATTAAAAAATAATAATAAATAAAATTTTAAAATTCTTTAAAAAACATTTATTTTTAAAATAAAAATGCCTCTCTCGTATGAATGAGAGAGACACAGAGGTGGAAGGACAGCACCTCCAAACAGGGATTTTTTTTTATTCAAGGATTATTTTTTTCTATTTATTATTATTTTCTAATTTGACCTGAAAGAGACAGAGAGGGAAAGTGAGAAAGTAAGCCACTAGGTCTGGGACTTGAACTGCAATAGGCCAGACATGTGGGAGTCCAGTGCCTCAAATCACGCCTCCTGCTGGCCCCTGCAACAGGGTTTTGATGCTGCAATCTACCTCTACCCTTCAGCCAGCTCTGGTTCAGAGGCACAAGTGTCTAAAACATACTCAAGGAAGCCTCTGGACTTGAACCCTAAACCTTCTCATGTGGGATTGCCTCACAGAGCATTGTGTTTTACTGCTACCCCCATTGTCGGACTCTTTTCTCTTTAAATTTTTGCTTGCATGTCTGCACTACCCAGAACATTCCTACCCCACTTCTCCCTCTGCATTTGGGAAATCCCTTCTTATCCTTGGGATCTTGACTTAGACATAATGTTTAGGACACTTCCTGTTTCCCCAAGTCTGGATCTCCTAGGTCCTCGCTGACCCCACCAGCACAACATTTATCACATTGTATAATATTCATCTGTTCTCTATAGCCTTTGCCTAGAATTCATGGAGATGCCGCCAACGAGTTTATTAGCACTTTAGACAAAGAAGAAAGAAATATAAAAATTTTATTTAAATGACAGAAGAACGTCAGTGTTATATATTGTTCCCATCCTGTTTAGTAACTCTTATCCTAAAGCATTAATATCACTCTGATTCTTTTCTTAGATAAAGTCTCCTTTTCTTAAAAATTCTTTTCTTAGATAAAGAATTTTTGGTATTTTACATAACAAGGTATCCTGACTGAGCCAGATCTGAGATTCAATGCCCTGTTTTTACTTCCTGCATCGCCTCCTCCAGAGAATTATTGGTATCGACTGACTTTGATGGGAATTGAGGATATATTTTTTTAGAGAGTTGTTTGTTTGTTTTCGCTATAAGTTGTGTGTGCTTGCCAGAGAGACAGAGACAAAAAGTGAGAAATTACTCCCGAGAGGGGTTGGCCACACTGCAATTATTTCTATTCCACTCTCCTCTCAGGATCTTGGGCTCACACACACTCACGTGCCTCGTGAGAGTTTTAAGCCAGTTGGGTCTGGGACTCCAACTGCGGTCAACTATGTGGGAGTCCAGTGACATAACTATTATACCATCTGCTGGTCCCAGGAATTGAGACTTCTGAGGAAGGAATTCCAATCACAGCAATGACTAGGATCTAATGAACTGTGGTTGTGAGAAGCAACCAAGGAAAATGGCAAGAAGGAATCACAGGCCCTTTGACAAAAACCACCCTAGGAAAAATTGGAGCTTGGGTTCTCTGGAGACACAAGGGGAGGATTGGAAAGAGCATTGGGCCATGAAGCCAAGCCGAGGCTGGACTTCACCTGAGTAAAGGGACAGTGGGGTGTGGAAGGGGAAGGGCAAAGTATGAGGCAGTTTTGTTTTAGTGTTTTGTTTATGGCTCAAAGGCATGTATACTCACTAGAGATAGACAAACAGTGAGGAGAGGAGAAAGCACTCCCAATGGGGAGTGGTCACACTACAATCCCTTCTCCATCTGTTCCCTCTTTTCAGGATTTGGAGCACATGTATATACATGCCTGGCATATTTTTCAGGCTATCAGATCCAGGACTTGAAACGCAAGGTCAACCAGGTAGGATCCAGTTCCCTTAGCCACCAGGTCATGGAGCTGGCCCAGTAGTGTTTTTGTCTATTCATTCACTTCTTCCATAAGGAAACGAGACAGACAGTTACCCCATAAGGCCCCTACACCACAATCCAACCCCAGTATCAGCTAGCCCTGGATGGTGGGTATACATGTGCCCATATACCCAGGGAGATCTTCAGATGCAAACCTGGAACCCTCCCCTGGGGATCAGCTTTGTAGAGCATCACATTTCACTGCTGCACTGTCATTTAGCCCTAAGAGGTAGTGGTTCGAGCCACAACCAGGGGGTGCCAGGACCAGATCACAAAGAGGATCAAAGGCATGAGCCAAGCCCAGAGCCAAAGAAGCAGGAGAAGTAGTCTAGATCGACCAATTAACACAAGCAAAAAGCCCCCTGGAGCATCCACAGGTACCAGAGGAATCTTAAAAGTGTTTGTTTATAATATTAAAATGAGAAAAGATGGGAGAAATGTTTTAAAAGAATCAACTCAACAGGAGAAAAGGCACCAAACTATACCTAGGTCATTACTATTGTTGTTACCAACTATGATATTACTTTAACTGGAATATTAATAGCATCACCTAGATACTATTTTGTGATAATAATGACGGTAAGCTCCTATGACAAGGTAATCTAATGAGGTAGTATTATTATTCCTGTTTGACAGGTGGGAAAACAATCTTAGAGGCGTTAACTCATCAAAGCTAACAGATAGTGGAGTTAGGTCTATACACAATTCTGTCTACATCCAGAGTCCTTTGAAGTCACAACAATAAAACAGTGGCAGCAGACACCTTCAGAGTATTCAGCTACAGAGCAGGCACTATTCCAAACACTCTTATGAACTCATTTCAGCTAAACCACCTCACTATAGTGGCTTCTAGTGGACCTACTGTGAAGTTACTATGAATCTGTTCCTCCCCTTTCTCTGTTCTGAGATCTGCCTTGTTCACTCAAGCTCACCTTCAAGGTCGTCTAGTGGCAGGGCTTGCTCCAAGGGGCTTTGAAGCATCCTCTGGCTCTGTGGGGTGGCCCCTGAGGGCTGGGACTGAGCATCCTGTGAGATGTGAGGATGGTCTTCAGGAGCTAGGGGGCTCTGTTGCTGCTTCTCTGCCAGTTGCTGCTGATGAAACACAGGACCAAAGAGAAATCAGTCCCCACTCAACCATGCCCTATGCTGGGTCCAGCATCTGTGCCTAAAGTGGCCTCACTTTGGAGCATAAATGTACAGAGCACAGTAGCAGGAGATCTCAGAGCCACTAGGGAGAAGGCAGGGGCAAAGTTGGAGCTGGGTAAGAGAGTTGTGAGTACTCTTGCAGAGAAGAAGCAGAATTCCCCAGAGAAAGACACAAAGATGGACCTGAACTCAGGGCAATGGGCTTACCTGTCTCATCAGGAGGAGCACACACCCTCCCAGGAGGACAGCAGTGAGGCTAGCTGCCAGTAGGTCTTGGAGTCCCAGCCCCAGATGAGAGTCTGGAGTTTTCTCTTCAGGATGCAACTCTGGGTCCCAAGGTTCCTCCCGGCTCAGGCTTAGAAGCTGAGGACAAAGGGCTTTCACTTGTAGCAACTCTTACTGGGGAACCCTTAACCCGTCTTCATCTGGCTGAAGCGTCGGTGAGTGGTCAGTCAATGGCAGGAAACATCGTGCTGTCCACTGTGCTGGAACATTGGTGTTCAGGAGAGTGGTTTTCCAGACTTAGTATAGTAGATGACCATCATCTCATGGAGTGTCACCAAAAAATACAAGGCCTTCAAAAAGCTCATGAAAATGTATCAATTAGGGACTAGCAATTGGTGTAATGGCTATGTCACTGGACTCCCATGTAGTTGACTGCAGTTGGAGCCCTGGACCCGGAGGCTTAAACTCATGCTGGGCGTGTGTGTGTGCATGCCCAAGATCCTGAGAGGGGAATGGAGGAGAAAGGATTGAAGCATGGCCACCACCCCCCTGGGGAGTGATTTCTCTCTTTCTGTCTCTCTATCTCTGTCTTTCTGGTGAGTGCATACGCCCTATAGCATAAATCTCTTAAATAAATAAATAAAATGTGTCAATTTAAAAAATCCATAGATTTTTATTTTTTTAACTCCAAAGTAAACTTGTACTTTAATTCCACTTTTTTCTACAAAAGTTTTAAAGTCCCCTTTACAGATATTCACCTGCAGAGATTCTGAATTTGGTGTCAGAAGTGGGCTCCCAGATGATTCTTCTAAGCAATCAGATTTGGAGATTATTGCTCTAGGTTATGGCTGTTCCTTCTAAGCTTGAACTGCTTACTAGTGATCGTCATTCAACCCTCTCCCAGGAAAGAATGGCTGTATAGTTTTTTGTTCTGTTTTCAATTGCTCACTTGGTGAATATCTTACAATATTTACACTGAAGAAGAATAAAGAAAATGGTGAGCCATGCTTTATTATTTAGGTATCCAATATGTTTTTAAAAATTTTTTTAGGTGTTTGCCATAGGGGGTGTGTGCTCTCTGGAGAGAGACAGAGAGGGAAAGTGAGAAATCACCCTCCCAGGAGGGATGGCTACACCACAATTCCTTCTCTTCCATTTTTCTCTTGGTATTTTTGGTGTGCATGCATACTCACTCAGTATGATTTCCAAGCCACCACGTCCAGGATTTGAACTGTGGTGGGCCATGTCAGAGTCTATGATCTGCTGGCCCTGCAATATCTTTTTGACATTTCTAACATGTTTCTGATAGTAACCAAAAAAATGTGTTTCTCCTGAGAAACAGTGGGAGGTCAATGGAACCACCCCCAAATGTTATTTTTAACATCCTAAAGAAAAGGTCCAAAGACCAACACACCTGCTGAGTTCCCTCCATTGCCATTTGCCCTTCTAGCACTGACCTCCAAGAAGAGAGCTGGGGCCTGGGTGATCTCTGGGGTTCTTGTCTCTGTAGCCCCACTCCCTGGAGTGGGATGGACCCTCAGCATGGTGGTATGCAGGACTGGGGGTAGCTCATGGTGTCCTAAGGGGCAGAGAAGAAGTTAGCCTTTTAGCTCATAAGATGGGCTTCAGGTCCTTTTTCTTCATCTACTCCAAGTCTGAGCCAGAGGACCTCACCAATGAGTAGCCACTGGCTAGGGAGGGCCATGCTGCCTGAGGGGTATCTGACAGCAGTACTGGGTGAGCCCTCTCTTTCTCCTGAGATTTGGAGTGTCACCTCATCTGTGGTGGGACCATCCGTGGAGGCCAGGGTCAGTCCACGAGGCTGTAGAAGAAGAGCCACGAGTGAAGGAGGTTCATGTCCTGCTTCATTTTTTCCTCCCAGCCCACTCAGAGTCCCCTTCTTACCACTAGGGCCACTCCTGTGTGAACCAGTGCTTTAGAGACATAGAAGCCAGCTTCATCCTTTCCCACATACAGTGTCATCCTAATGGGAGAGAACAAAAAGAAGAGAGGAATGAAAGATAGTGGTGAGTAGTTTCAGTTATCACCATACTCATGTCCTTGTATAGTTCCTTTCAAATTGACTCTGTGCTTGGTCATGTGATTTGCTGTATCCAGTGAGACAATAGCAAATATGACACAAGCATAGGTTTTAAAAGTGTCTATACATTGGAGCTTGTCATCACCATGTAAGGAAACCCAGCTGGGGCATGAAAGACCTTAAAGAGTAGAGATGAACCATTCTTTTTGTTGTCCCATAGACCAAGTAAGTAGTCTGCCAACTATGAGATAGGTAAGGCCAAGCTCTGCCAAGTCACCAGCTGACAGCAGAGACCAGGAAAACCACCACCTGACCCACCAAATTTTGAAAACTAAAAAAAGTTTGTTGTTCTGAAGCTCTAAGTTTGGAGTACTTTGTTATTCAGCAAAAGCTAACGGATACAAACTTTATAGTCATGATTTCTAAATATGTGTCTAATTCATACCTCTTTCAAGAGCTCAGTTTTCTAAATATGAACTCACCTCCTCATACTTCACCTCCTCTATCTCTCCCCCACCCCTCTAATAACTTCTACTTCTAAAAATGACAATGACCATGTGCTTCTAGAAACTTGAGCGTGACCCACAACTTGTTCATAATTACCTAACTACCTTCCCAATCACCAAATTCTTACTGTTTTTCTTTCTTAGTATCTTACCCTCTACTTATTTCCATCTCTAATGTTTCCACCCTAGTCCAAGTATCTTCATCTCTGTCTGAACCAATGCAACATTCTTTAAGTGCTTATTTCTCCCCCTATATTGCTCTAAAATATCTTTCCCTGGGGCCAGCCACGGATGTGGTATTTAAGGTAGCTCGATCTCACATGGCTTACTGCATGAGTCAAGTCCCAGACCCAGTGGCTTGAAAAACATGCTGCTACATGCGCCAGCTTGCCCCAAATTCTGAAAAGAGAATGGAGGAATGCAGTGTGCGATCCTTCATGGGGAGCTTTCTCATTCTCTATCTCTCTCCTCCAGCAAGTGTACATGCCCTCTAGCAACTAAAAAATATTTACCCTGCAAAAAGAGTTATCTTTCTGAAATTAAAATATGATCACTTTCTTGTTTAAAATCCTCCAATGACTTCTCCTTAGCCTTAGAAGAAAATGTCCAATACTTAAAAAATATTTATTTTATTTTATTTATTATCGTTACAGTTATTATTTTTAATTTGACCAGAGAGAGAGAAAGGGAAAATGAGAATGTAAGTCATCGGGTCCAGGACTTGAACTGTAGTCAGTCATGTGGGAGTCCAGTGCCTCAACCACCACACCACCTGCTGGGCTCCAAAATGTCCAATACTTTAAATGATTCTATGAGATCCCTGTTTAACTTACAGACCTTACTCCCTTTTCAGATCTATGTTCCAGCTTTATTTAATTCCTGTTCCCTGGATGCCATGCTCTCTCCCTCCCATTTCCTATTCATCCTTTAGGCTTCAACTTAGATATCCATTCCTCCGGGTGCTTTTCATGACTGCCTCTACCCCTCAGTCTTAATTTAGATACTTTTTCTATACATTCCCATGGCACCCAATATTTATCTCATCCTTTGAGAGAAAAGGAGAGAGGCACCTTCAACAGGACCTCATGCTGCAATCTCTCCACACCTCTCCCCCAGCTTTTCCATCCAACCAGGATCATAGGCACATGCACCAGTGTGTCCAGATCGAAGGGGTAACTGAACTCCTGATCTTCCACATGGGTCCAGCAACATTTGGGTAGCACATTACTGCACTACCAATTTGTCCCTCTGATCTCATCCATTATCGCATCCTGCTATAATGGCCTCTTTACACATCTGTCTTCCCTATCAGACTCTGAGATTCCCATAGTCAGGGACAATGGATGCATTATTTATTGTTGTAGAGCCCGGCGAATGACTGGTACACAGTAAGTGCTCAATTAATATTTGTGGAACAAATCGAATGAATGGATAGTTCCTGATTTTCCCAGTCTTATCACCTGATTCTCAAAGATGGAGACACTAAAGTATTAGGCTCTATTGGGAATGGTGATATTTAAAATATTGAATGATCAATAAAGCAAGGCACCTACCAATCAGAACAGGTTGAGACCTGACAGTCCCCTCCTATGTTGGATTCTACGCTCTCATTGCTAAACTTTGGGATTATCCAGGGAGTCCTGAGAACACCTGCAGGGGGTGGGGGGGGGCAGTATGGGACAGGGCATTTACCAGTTTGGTAAACCGTCAGTCTGAAATGTCTTGACCTGGTTCATCTCTACTGGTGTGCCATGGCCAAACATCATGTCTGGCCACTGGGTCTGGGCTGCAACACTTCCAGAGCTCTCTCCGCGCCCCCTCCCCCCCGTCTCAGCCTCCAGGCATGGACACCTACAGCAGCTGGGTGTCCAGGGCAGAGAAGTGGGTGGCTGTGTCCTGGAAGCCTGCGGCAGGCAGTCGGATGTGGCCCCAGCGGAGGGCGAGGAAATGCAGTGTGTCCCGAGCCAGTGTGAGATGCGGTAGCTGGTGCAGGCCATCCTGATGCCAGGCATAGATGCCCATCACTGGCACGCCCAAGTCCTGTGTCCACAGCACCATCCCACTTCCTGGGTCCACAGTGAGCAGCAGGCCCATGCCACAGGATGCCAGGTGGCTCATGTCTGTCAAGAAAGGTGGCTGGGGAGATGTGGTCAGAGACTTTCACAGGAAGCAGCTGACTGTACCCAGAGGAGAAGCTGCTCTTGGGGTGGGCCTCTGGGGGTCATTCAGGTGTGTGGAGGTCAGCTGAGATCAACAGGAAGGTCATCAGGACATGGGAAAGTTGTTCGGAGTTCAAGGGGTCACTTTGAACATGAAGGGTTTAATTAGGGTCAGCCAATGGTGACTCGGATGTATGTGACTCAGTTTGGGTGACTTGGGAGAAATCACCTAGTATGTAGTCAGTCACAGTCATCTAAGATGGGTCAACTGGAATGACCGGGAAGCCCATGGGTCACTCAGATGACACTTAGAGTATGAGAGGAGTCATTCAGGAGCCCTCCAAAGTGTCACTGTGATTTATCAATGTTACCTGCATGGTACTCATGCAGAGTGGCAGAGAGGGGATGAGGGGTACCTGAGAGGGCCTCAGGCAGTTGGAAGGACAGTCATAATAACGAGGGGTGGTCAGGGTTACCTGGGGGATTGGTCTGGGGAAAAGGTCACTTAAGGTCTTCTGTCAAGGGTCATGCAATAGGTAGAGGTCAGATAGGATATGTGGGGATTCTTCAGGGTGTGTGGGGTTGCTTGGGGTCACTCAGGGCACAGGGAGCCATCCAGATTACTTGACTGGGGCCATCTGGAGTATAAACGCAGTAGGATGTGGAGGCTTTGCTTAGGCCATCTGAGGAGGATCAGTCTGGGTGTTGAGGGGGGTTACTCAGGGTCATCTCAGGGGCGTATCATTGAGTGTGGGGTCCCTGAGGCAGGCAGGTGGTTCAGAATGTGCTGGGACTTGATGGTGATTGACACTCAGCATTCCCTGAGTTGAGGTACTGACTCCAAGGTGGGGCCCGAAGAAGGTGCCACTCACATTTCCCCGGTGAGCCATCCAGCAGGGGTGCTGAGTAGCGGCGGTAGGTGGTGTTCCAGCGCAGGGCTGGGGTCCTCGGGTCATGCATGGTGACCGTGTACTCTGGGAATCCCCAGAAGCAAGGTTACCAGGAAGGCCTGTGTGATGCTTCCCCACACCCCGGGACTGTTCATCATAGAGGTGGGGGTTTCGAGCACCATAAGGCAGAGAGCAAGGCCGTGTGGTCGGCAGTTATGTCCCGGCTCCTTGTTCAGTCTGAGCAGAACACTGATACCTAGCTGACTGACTGGCTGGCTTCAACTTGGACAGCACTTGCCAGGCCCAGGCAGAGAAAAACAGTGAGTGGAGGGGCTTCCCAGGGCTTAGGGAGCAGCTTGGGCCTGACTTACGTGTCCGGCCGATGTAGAGACGGGGGGTAGAGGAGCCCTCTGTGGTCAGTGTCATCTGGGTCTCCCCTGACTCAGGGTCCACCACAAACCAGGCATCCTGCTTCCGGCCTAAGGAGGTGGAAAGTGTGCCAGCCTTTAACATGGTTGGGAGAGGTGTGTGCTCTGTCACTCCTGCAGCCACCTGTTGTGACCTGGGTCCCTGTGCCTGCTGGCTACACTCGGACCACATAGGCTGGAGAACACTCACCTGTGTAGAAGACCCCATCAGAGCTGCGGCAGGGAGAGGCGTGAACCAGTTCCGGGATGGTGAATGGCAGTTTCTAAGAAGGAAGAGTTCCAGGAAGGAATAAGAGCAGAAATACATCCACAGCAACTGCACCAGACACCCTTCTGAGGTTAACCCATTTCCATAGCAACCTATCCAACAGATACTATGTCCACTTTCCAGGTGAGAAAACGGGTTCAGAGAGGCTAAGTAACTTGGTTAATGCTAAACAGCTAGTAAGTAGCAGTTAGGTCATGAACCCAGGCAGTCAGGTTTGAGACCCAGCATATTTAACTTCATTTTTTAAAGTTTTTTTCTTTCTTCTCTGAGCGAGAGACAGAAAAAGAGAGAGGCACCCCCAACAAGGTGTTCCCACTATGTTCTACCTGCAGCCTTAGCCAGCCCTGGATCATGGACATGCATGTGCCTGGTGTGTTCAGAGAGGACTCTGGGCTCAAACAGGAAACCTTCTCGTGTGGGTCAGCCTCGCAGAGCCTTGCTTTACCACTGCACAACTGTCTGCTCCCAACATTTGACCTTTTGAGGAACTACAGGAAGCCCCATACCTAGTGCCAAGATGCCACATGGCACTTGATCCCAGCCTGCGAATCTCCTCAAGAACACACACAGAGACTCAAAATCACCAACCGCTATGAAGGATGGAGGCTGAGGAGCTGTTCCAGGATAAAGGAGCTCCTGACCTGGGCTGACTATGAGTGGAGATCCACCATCCACCCTCTCCCTTTGGAGCAGAACTTGCCCAGATTACATGAGTGGTACCCTGTGCTCTGGTTTCAGAGTGTGGATAACAGGGACATGGTGAGATCAGGGTGTGAGTGCCCTGTGCTCTACGCCCAGTCGCCATGGTTGGCCACGTCCTTGCACCCAAGGCCTCCCAATAGGGGTCCTTCTTTGTGCAACTCGCTCTGGCTCCCGGCTGTGCTAGCTGCTTCCTCTCCTCTTCCAGGCTAAGGATTGAGAGTGGATCCCACTGTTAGGAGCCACAGGATACTGCGCTACCCTCATGTTTTCCTGTACTCTCCCCACACCTTGATGAGCAATCCCTGTAATAAAACCTTGTTACACTATCCTACTTGAGTATCATGTGTTTATTTCCAGGACTTTGCCTAATTCACACACTAAAATTTATCAATTCAGCTTCCTAAATCACATACATAAGACTTTTCCAGGAATGGCATGGTCAGAACTTTGACATGGCACATTCCACCCATTCCCATGACAAATGCATAATTATGTCCAACAGTCTCTATCAGAGTTCAGACATGCAAGATTGCACAATGGGCCTCTCCCTGTATACAGGCCCCTTCACAAAGCTGACTTTCAACTCGTCCCATGAAGAGTTGGAGTCTGCTCCTTGACTGCCGGACTCTCCACATGGCTAGCCCTGGCTGAGGAGACATTCGTAAGTGTGATACGAACAAAAGCTTGAAAAGTGCTCTTGTGCTGAGTTTGCCTACGTTTGCTATTTTCAGGTCCCCTGTTGACACCATGTGAACAAGTCCAGGATTTCCTGCAGAGGATGACAAACACATGGCCCAGTTTCCTCTGTCAAAAGTCAACCAACTACGGGACCAGCAATTGGTGTAATGGCTATGTCGCTGGACTCTCATGTGGTTGACTGCGGTTCGAGTCCTGGAACCGGTGGCTTAAACTCACACCGGGTGCTTGTGCGTGTATGCTCAAGATCCCAAGAGGAGAATGGAGGACAAGGGATTGCAGCATGGCCATCCCCCCTAGGTGGGTGATTTATCGCTTTCTGTTTCTCTGTCTTTCTCTTTCTAGTGAGCATACGCACCCTATAGCAAAAACCTCTCAAAAAAAAAGTCAGCAAACTACCACCAACTTTCAGAAACAGAGCCACCCAATTAACCAGCAGCTAACCCTAGGTACATGAACAAACTCAGTCATTACCAGCAGAAGAACTACTCAGCTGAGCCTACCCTAAATTTTCATGCTACTAAATTTTGAGTTGAATAAGTTTGGTTTTTACGCTATTGAGTTTGGGGTCAATTTGTTATCTAGCAAAACTATCTGATACATATGTTTTCCCTTAAGCCCCCTCAGATTCCTGGGGAAAGCCCCTGTGATATTCTCAGAGGCCTGACAGTCAGTGTGCTCTGTAGACAAGCCAGTGTCCCACCCTCAATAGGTTCTCCCAGACAGCCTTCTCCCAATGCACTGAGAACCTTGAGTTACATCTGCAGGATTCCCAGCTTTTGACCATATTGCCCCTCTACCCCTCAATGCTCCAGCAGACAGAAGCCCCGGCTCTCACCCATCCCCAAGCATTGTAGGAAACATACCATTAATCCCTGTTGTTTCTGGGTCCCCAAGACATAAAGGCTGCCATCAGCTGGGTCTGACAGAAAGGCCATTCTGTGGAACCAAGAACACGAAGAAGTTTGGGTGCATGAAGACTCCTATTCCCTCCATCTTCTCAGCTAGTAGAAGCCCACCAAGATCCATCTGCCCCCCCCCCACCATGTCACTTCTAGACCTAATTCATTTGCCAGACTTTCAACATGCCCTTTTCACAAAAACAAAACAAAACAAAACAAAAAAACAACTCCCCACTATTTCCCACCTGCCTTCTTACAAGACCCCAGTTCACTTACTCTGTGACATACATTGGTCCTTGGATAATGGGATCTGCAGGAAAAGTGATATGGAGCGTGAGCACCCAAGGACCCACCCCCAGACTCCCCATTGACAAACATAGCTCATATGTAGTAGATGTCTCCCGTGTGCCAGTATCTGACATGAACGTAATGCCATCCTCCCAAGGATGCTGTGAGGTAGGGTCATCTTTCTTTACCCCATTTTGTAGTGGCGTTGAGGCTCAGAGAGATGAAGTGCCTTTTCCAAGGCTGCGCAGTTGGTAAGTGGTGAAGGTGCCTACGTTCACTGCTCTCTTGGATTCTAGAGCCCTCATCTTACCCTCTATGCCATGGTGATGCTCTCCACCACTAAATTAGGAACCCAAAGAGGGACGAATGTCTGCCTCTTGCTCACCATCCTTCAGTGTCCACTTCAAGTCCCCTGTCTGCTTGCTCAGTGCGTGGAGACTTCCATCCAGGGTGGACACAAGCAGGAGGCTGTCTGGCCTGAGAGTCTGGACCTACAGGGGGAAATAAAGTCAGGTCCTCTGATGGGCCTCTGACCACCCCTTGTCTCCATCCCAGGCAGGGCTGGCCAGAGCAGGACAGAGAGGGAGAGGAAGGATGATTGGAGAAGCTTCTGGCTCCACCCATCATCATCTCCATGACCCTAGACAGGGATCATTGCAGGAGCTGGGAGTTTGGGATGAGGGGAGAAGGAAGGCTTTGGCTCCCACTGTGTCTAAATTCTTACTTTCTTCCCTCCTCCCTTTAATTTCTTCTGGTTTTTCAAAGATTAAAAATCTTTACAAAACTATTCACTGTTACAGCCTCCCTAAGAGATTGGTTCTATGAATCAACTCATTGTACAGGTGAGGGAGACCGCGGCTCAGGAAAGGTAAGTCATCAGCTCGAAGCCACACAGATGAAATAAACGGCAAAGAACTTGACCTGCTATCTCTCTGATTCTAATTCCTGGTCTCTTTATTCCTTGTCACAATGTCTACTCTTGGGGAATGACCCTTTCTACCTCCCCAAACAGGCCCGGCTGCTTTTGGTGCCAGACTCCAGCGGGCTCCCTGAACCAAGACTCGGGGGTGCCAAGGGAGGAGGGCTTGGAGCTGCCCTTATATCTCGACCCTGCTGGGCTAACTCACCTGCTCCAGCCCCTCCTTGAGCAAACAGGGTGAGGCTAAGCTTCCAGCAGGAACCCTAACATCCGGGTAGCCTAGCCGCACCCCTGCAAAAGCCACATCCTGGTCCAGGACCCTCCGGGTTGGGGCTGAGCCAGTGGAGTTTAGTGGATAATTAGAAAACTGCCTTCTAGACTCCTTTTTCTGGGTCCCAAGTTTGTCTTCTGCCACATCTTGTGGGAGGGAGGATAGCCCAGAGAAAAGACTGCATGCAGACTGGTTGCCCACAAATGAATTTTGTTTGACTGTCATAGCTGCCAATTGTTTTAAAATGGGAAAATTTCAACTTAAACAAATGAAAATTTCTATTTTTTATTGAAACACCCAATCTGGCCACACTGGGCTCATATTCTTACTGGACAACCATGGATGGGTTAGACTCAGCGGGAAGGGGGCCGGAGGGTGCCGACTCTACCACAGGCCCTTAACTCTGGGGGGGCTCCAGGCTGGACAGTTAGATTCTAGGCTGAATGGCTCTTCTCTTCCAGCCACATTTCTGTAAGGCTGGAGTTCTCTGCTCCGGGCAGAGTTGGATCAGATCTCCTCCCCTCATTAATTCCAGAGGTTCCGAATCTCGGGTCCAGTCATGGGTAAGGAGGATGTTATGCAGACCCTAAAGACCTTTAACTGGATCATATTTTCAAAGGAAACCAAGATTCCCAAAAGTTTTAAGAGGCTCCTGACTTTGAGGCCAGGCTACCCCCTGCCCCTGCCCCATCCTCACTCCCCTGCAGAAGGGGGTGGGGGTGCTCTGTCCACCTGCGGCTTTCCATGCTGTCACGTCGTCTCCCCAGCTAGGTGTCTGAGGTGGCAACTGGCAACTCCTCAAACCCAGGAAATTTTCACTCGCCAGGGGCGGATTTAGAGCGACTCGGGTCGGAGGGAAGAAGAGGGGTCCCCATTGTCCTCCACCCCGGGCGTGCCCCGGACCCCTGCGCTCCGCGGACTCAATTTCACAGGCTCCGAGTCAGTTCCCGCCTCTCACCTGTGGTCCGAACATCCCGAGCAGCGCGGCGAGTTGGAGCAGGAAACTGAACTGGGGGCACCGACCCGACTCCTCAGCCACGCTCTCCATACCCCCGCGGACAGCCGCACGGCGGGGCCAGGTCCCTTGGTGCCTCCAGGGGACGGACTGTACGGCCCCTTCCCACGGGAGGCGACTCCGCCCTGGGCTGGGCCGGTTGGGGACGCAGAGGCTTGGGCGCAACCTCAGCCTACAGCCCTCAGTCCTGCCCCCACCCTTTCCTTCACGCTGGCACCCACACCCCTCTCTGTCTCTCCCTTCCAGGTATCCTCAGGGACAACTCTGGGAGCCCTGGGAGAGGGATTATATTAACCAAGGCCATTTATGGAGAACTTACACACTTTACACACTCCGAATACTGAGCCCATTCATCAACCGCTCATTCGATCTTCACAGCAGGTAAGAGCTGAGGTCGGGAGCTGGAATTGACATTCAGATCTGTCTGACTTCAAAGCTTTTTTTTTTTTTTTTTTTTTAAATTTATGACTACACTAGTGGCCTCTGCTGAGCTATTATGAAATATAGATTAACTGATGAATTCAGCCATTCATTCAATAAATATTTGTTATGACCTATTATATGCTGGCCTGGTGAGAGATAAGGTCCCTGTCTTATAGATCCTATGCTTTAGAAATCAGACAAGACAACACTGAGGGATGCCTTGCTATGACTGTCACCATTTGCACCACAGACTTCCCTCATTTGGTTCAGGGAGGACCTGCAGAGATCCTTGAAGCCAGGTCCACTCTGTTTTCAAGTTTGGGCTCAATAATTTCTCTTTTATCCTGGTGTAAACATTTCTGCTGATCTGAAGGTCATGCAGCCTGGCTCTGCTACCTTCTCCCCTTTTTGTCTTTCTTGGCTCTCCTGATCATAATCCACAGCTATGGAAGATTTAATAGCAGGCCCATTGCCTTTATCTCCACCCCCAATCCTGTTCTTACCAGTGTCTTCAGTGTCCACAGGGGCACTCAGCAATCCAGCCTCTCTGTTTGATGACTGACCCTCTCTAGAGACCTTGTCCTCCATGCCACCACTGGCCTAGACCTTATCACACCTAGAATCCTTTACTGGTGATATCCCTTGTGCCAACAGTAGCCTCTTATCCTTGCAGCTGTCTCACCCCCTAATTTTCTCTATACCTGTTTTCTGATCTAGGTGGTATCTTCAGTCCCCCCAATCTCCCTTCTATTCTCTCATCCCCCTTCCTACTCCTTACCAGCTTGGATTTTCCTTTTTTTTCTACACCACTGTCTTGGGTTGAGTTTCCTAGATGTAGAGCCCAAGGTAGGGATTTTTGTGAATGCTTTATTGGAGGAATGCTCTCTAGAGTAGGAGGAGATGAGGAAAGCAGGACAGAGCTGGGAAGAAACCGAACAAGGATGGGGTCTCGGTTGAAGGCTAACTACAACTGTATTTCACGAGGTGGATGGAAGAGGCGGCCTTTGATGCTCTCCTGCCTGACAGCCATCAGCCACTCCAGGAGATGGGGTATGACCTCCCAGGCAAAGGAACTCTCAATGGCTGAGGATAAACCTCTGCAGGAGGAGGCAGCTCGCAGCTCTTAGCAACTTTCTCTCTCAGCAGCTGGGGGATGGGCGCCTTGCCCTGTGAGGGACATCTGGGCAGGCTGGCAACAGCATCCACTACAATCAGTGATCTCAATTTCCTTATTCTGCCTCCTCAATGCAACAAAACTCCATTCTGGAAAGATGCTACTAATCATCTTCTTTGCTTCTATTTTAGGATTTCTAAACATCGTCCAGTCTACCCACTGCTCACTTTTTCACGTCCTCCACTTGTTCAACTCCCTCTTCATTCCCACATTACCCTCAGTGTCTGACTCTTCCAAACCCATGACGATCTTCCTCAAGTCCTATCATCCCTCAAATTAAATAAACCCACCACCCCTCAAATTCTTTCTTCTCCCACCTCTAGCTAGACAATCATCTACAGACACACTCCTTTTCACCCCTTTTCCCCAAGTTTCAGAGATACAGTACCCCTCTTTCTTCAGACGCAAGCCCCTTGGCTTCCTTTGAAATAATATTTTTAAAAGTTTTGTTTGTTTGTTTTTTTGAGAGAGAAAGAAATCCTCCAACAGGGTCTTCACACCATGATCCAACCCTGCTTCAGCCAGCCTGGATTATAGGCACATCTGTGCGTGTGCCCCGTGTTTAGAGAGGTCCTGAAACATGAATCAGTTCGTTTTCCATGTAGGTCCATTTGTGTTGACATCACCACCACCTGGCCACAGATGGTAATTTTGTTTATTTATTTCATTGCCAGATGGTGCATGCACTCACCAGAGCAGACGAGAGAGAAAGACACAGAGAGAAAGAACCCCCTAATGGGCACAGTCATGTTGTAATCCTTTTCCTCCAGTTATTCATCTCATCACTATTTGGGAAACACAAGTACATGTGCTCAGCATGTTTTTCAAAGCCTTGGGGTTGGGATTCGAACCTTGCTTGACCATATGGGATCTGGGTCTCTGACCCACTGTGCTATGGGATCAGCCCTTCTGTAAACTTTTTGAAGTCCCCTCATATGTACATCATGAAGTCTGTCTTTGGTTTATTTGGTTGCTCCTTCATGCTTAGCTGTTCCAGTATCTCCAAATCAACATGGTAGTCCTAACTTCCTAACAGAAGTGATTGGTTAGCACTTTAGAAACTAACCAAGTTCCAGAGTGTGTGAAAGAACCTCCTTTACACTGTATATTTTGTACACTGTACATTCGTATTGGACTGTGTATTGTGTTTGTTAATTATACTTGGATTCATAATCGTCCCTCATATAATAGATTTTATTTGCATAGAATACAAGCTCCAAGTGAATTGAGGGTGTGTGTGTGTGATAAAAGTAACATACATTCTGAGAACTTTATAAAATTCAGAAAAATATAAATAAGAAAACAAAATTCATTCATGTTCTAGAAACTGAGCACCTCTTTAAAAATTGTATTTCTCTGCTGATTTTTTTCTCTATGCCTATATGTCTGGTGGTATTCTATGGTGAAATAGTAATGTGTTTTCCCCCTATAGAGCTTCCTTTTTCTCTAATATTCCTCTTCTATGTCTAGATTAGTTTTTTCAATATTATTCCAACAGGATTTTCATGCTACCATCCACTCCAAGCCTCAGCGAGATCATGGACACATACACACACCTAGCGTATACGAGGGGGCCCTGGGATGCAAACCAGGATCTTCCACGTGGGTCCAGTTGCATTAGTGCTACACCATTGTCTGGCCCTTATTTTTGTGAAATGATCCCTATTGTCAAGTGTGGTTGTAGTTTATTCTCATTCTCACCACTGTAGTATAATATTACATTGTATGAATATGTCATGATTTATTTATCCATTCTAATGTTGATTGACATTAGTTTCTTTCATACCAGTTTTTGGCTTTTGTGAATAGTACTATGAATTTTTTTTTTTTTTTTTTGCCATAAGGTGCAGGTGTTCACTAGAGAGAGAAGGAAAATGGGAAATCACCCCACCACCCCCAAGAAGGGATGGCCATGCCACAATCCATTTTCCTCTAGTCTCCTCTTAGGATTTTGGGGTATGCACATACACGTACCTGGAGTGATTTTCAACTCACCAGGTCCAAGACTTGAACTGTGGAGTCGGCCATGTGGAGTCCAGCACCTTAACCTCCTTGCCATGTGCTGACCCTAGTTATGTGAATAGTCTTGTACATGCCTCTTGGTTAACATAGCTATACATTTCTGTTTGGTATCTACTTAGGAGTAGAATTGCTGGGTCATAGGATGTGCATATATTTAACTTCAGTGGATTTTGCCAAATGATTTCCTAAATTGTGGTACCAGATTACATTTAGTGGCGGTGGGGAGGAACTCCTTATGCAATACAGAAAGTATAGAAATTGCAAAAGAAAAAGACAGGGATATGTATGTCAGAGAACTTTAGAAAGTTTGTGGGAAAATGGAATAAAAGTATGAGTTTATTTTGGTGCAAAAAATTTCTAAAATCCATGCAATATTTTTTTCACAATATGCATTTTTCCATGAATGTTTTCAAGACTATATATATATATACATATATACACACACACACACACATATATATTTAAAAATTTTAAACTTTAGAATGGCAAGACACCATAGACAAACATCAGATTAGAAAAATACAGACAAACACAGAAGATAAAGGATTAACATCTATAATACACAAACTGCTTCTATAAATTAACAAGAAAAAGACAAACAACCAAAAAATATGCAAAGGCTATGAATAAGCACTTACATAAGATCAACGCCAAATGTGTGAAAATGTGCTCAAAATCACTAGCAGTTAGAGAAATGTAAAAACAAGATAAAAAAGTAACAAGTATATCACTTTATGCCCATAAATTTGCACAAATTAAAAGAAGACTACATGAATAGCAGAATATTGATAATTGCTGAAGCTGAGTTGTGAATATTTGGGGGTTCATTATACTATCCCATTTGCTTCCAGAATGTTAAAAACTTTCCATAACAAAAAGAAGAATCCAAACAAACAAAAAGAAGCTAAATCTATTGTTTTCAGGAATGAGAGGAAGAACACTCTCTGAAATAATGCTGGTGGAAATGTAAATCATTACAGATTTACTTGAATGCAATCTGGTAACAACTGTTAAAAAGAAAAAATATAGGGGGCCAGCAGATGGCATAGTAGTTACATCGCTGGACTCCCACATGGTTGATCATGGTTTGAGTCCCAGACCCAGCGGCTTGAAACTCATGACATCTGTGTGTGCGTGCTTGCCCAAGATCCCGAGAGGAGAATGGAGGAGAAGGGATTGCAGTGAGGCCATCCCCTCTTGGGGGTGAGTTCTTGCTCTCTGTCTCCCTGACTCTCTCTGTCTCTTTGGTGAGCACACACGCCCTATAGCAAAAATCTTTCTTAAAATAATAAATATCTATACATATATATAACCCCTTTGACTTGGTAAACCCACTCTTTTTTTCTTGGTAACCCCTCTCTTTCCCATAGAAGTAAAAGTAACGGGGGACTGTCTGGTGGCACAGCAGGAAAGCACAATGCTCTGCAATGCTGACCTCACAGGAAGGTTC